CTGGCTGGCTGACACCCACGAGCAGGCTGAGGGCCACCAAGTTACTCACCTGGGTGTGGAAATGGGCAGCTAAACAGCTCAAGGACAACAGGCTGGCCACCCTTGATATGGTGTGCGAGGGCGGAGCAAAGGATGGCCAAATGGAGTTTAAAAGTGGTGTAGTTGTGTGAAAATCTGCTGATTTGGTTACCAACAAACAGGGTAGGGGAAAAAAAATCTTTTAGGGAGGAACAGCAGGGAAATGGTCACCTAGAGTACAAGTACAAACAGGGCAGAAATCAATTTTATGAATGAAGCATTGCCACTTGCTGATCTAAACCATAATTAAATTGGCGATTCAAATCAATGTAGCCTGCTGCTATCTTATCTTCTTAAGTTTCATGTATTTTATTTACACATACTCAATGTCCTGGATTTTAAGGTGCATGAGCAGGTAGTGAATGGTAAGCAATGAAAATGCTGCACTGCTGCTTTTCCATTTGAGTGCAAATAATGTCAACAGAACTCAGGAATTTGCTCCAGAAATGAGGAAATGGCATCAGAGAAATGTCTCCCTGCTTATTCAGATCTTGAGCTGAGGAAGAGTCAGGAGCAGTATTAGCATTACTTAGACCACCAACTACAACATGCAGATCTCCTGCACCAAAGTGTAAAATCTCAAATTGGTATAAGCTTGTTAAAATAGAGTCCTTTTACTGTCAGAGGAGGAACAGGAAAAAAAGAAGAAAAAAAGAGGAAAGCAACTGTGGCTTTTCATCAAGTATATTTCATAATTGTCCATTAAAATATGTACCCACATCACAAAACACTTTAAAAAAACCAAGTATTTTTAAATGTATGTACAATAATGCAAAAATATGCCTAAATATGTATCTAATGCAAAAAAATAAACCATTTAATAAAATCTCCCTTCAAATGTCCCCTTGCTCTTCAACATGTTAAAAAAAAGGACAGAGCTCAGTAAACAAACAGGAGTTAAAACACAAACTAACAGACAAGAGCAGCACAAAGCAGACACCTAAGAACGGAGAGGCGTCCGATTCAGCTTCCTGTTCCGTGGATTACACCACAACTACAGTGCAGCTTGTCCTATGCCAGTTGAATTTTGGTTTTAAAAAGTCACCCTGGTATTAAGAGGCTGCCTATGGCACTCGTTTTTCACGTAAGCAAAAAAAGTTAATGATAATCCAACTAAGCACCCTTTAAACCCCCTTAAACAGGGGTGAATTTCACCCTAGGCAAATATTTCATGTTCTGTGTATTCCTGCCAAGCACAAAGAGGTCCTGTCCAACAAACAATATGGATGAAAGTCTACCTGGACAACTGTGGTGGGAGAGAGACTTCTGCTATTTCATGGCTACTTGTTTGGGTCACCTCTTCTTTCTGCCTTCTCTAGGAAGCTGCAAAGAGGGCTCCAGTCTTAGAAGTTCGGTAAGTCAAATATCTTGTATTTGTGATGTTGCAATTTCACTGGTAGTTGGGCTTCTAAATATCTCTGAAGACTAGGTCTGATTATCTGAGTTAAATGAGACACTTCAGTTGCCAAAGAAAATGTTGATCTGATTCTTACTCGGATATGTTTAGGTGACTGATGTATATCCTCTATCTTGCTAGAGTAATTGCCCTCAGAGTACAGCAGGCTGGATGTGACACACAGCTCTTGTTTGCAAAAGCAATCTGAAGAGGTTTCAGTATTGCTCCCTATAGGAAAGGTGGCAGGAATTGAAGTACTATTTAAAAAACCTTATAAGGCACTGGTGCAACAAGGTTTGTGACGAACATGATTTTATGATTCCTATTTTCCAACTGTTTAAAAGTCAGTCAGTTAAACCAAACATAAATAGCAATAAAAAGGCATTAGAAAAGTCCCAAACCAAAGAAATCAACTTAGTATTGAAACTCAGTATACGACAGTCCCACTTCAGTGCACACACTAGCTCCTGCACGTTTTCTTAAACTCACTGTCAACTCATGCTCACCCTATATACAAAAGTCCCCCAACAGAGTCATGATGTGCTGAACATCCTCTACAAACAAGAAATTTTTAGATGACATCACATTAAACTTACAGACAATGGATAGGAACATATATTGGCTCACCCACTGTACATATCTATTCAAAGCTTTAACAGAATAAGAATATACACAATATATACACTTAATTCACACAGTAAAACAGCCCTCAACATCTGCTATTTTGTAGGGCTATGCATTTCTTTGACTAAAATTCCACACATGGAACTATGTCTGTGCCAGCTCCTCTTCATAAGCAATAGGATCACTTCAAGGTAAATTAGTTCTTCATTATATATGTAACAGAAACTGCAAAAGCTCAGCCTCTAGTCATCACTGTCACTCCCAGACTCACTCAACTGCAAGTCATTTCCTATGGAAAACAAAAAACAACAAAACACAACAAGTGAGTAGGCGTTAATTCACATTTCATGGCAATCAAACCTAAGAGCAGTCACATTTACACTGGAAGATTTAAATAAGAATAACATATGAAATGAATGCAAACATCATCCGTCATTTAATGGAGCTGCTCTCTATGCCTAAGAACATCAAGAGCTGCATGGGGCTAATACATGGTTGGATCCAGGCCAAACCAAGTGTCCTTGGCTCCACAGCCACCAAAGCTGCTCCCCAGTGGGACAACAGCCCTCCCCGTGCTGGAAGCTGGAGAAGGCCTCCACCCAGCCAAGCTCCCATATATGGCTCTAGACAAGGCATTGGGGAATTCCTTGGCTTTCTTGGCCCTTTTAGAATAGATTTTTTTGGTTTGAGGCCATTTGGGGTAGCTGAGACAAGGACTCCACATGTCAGTAAGCCAAAGGGAATGTTAAAGCCATCACAACTCAAGGCTACCAGCTAAACTAAGCTGACACATGCTGTGAGAGCGAGGACTCCCCTCCAAAGTGCAAAGAGATATCAGACAAAAGGCCAGGATATGGATAAACCTACCATCTCAGATCCTGTCCTGCAGAGCACTAGCAATTTGGTAAGGTGGAGTGGCTAAAAAGGGGCAAGAATCCTTCTTGTGTTCTGGTAACTGAACCTAGCTCTTCCAGCATTCTCCCATGGCCCTGCCCCAAAACAGCTGCAGAGCAGCTATGCAAGTTGTGCCCTGGATTTCTTCATCTCCTCTCCCCTTTTTCAAAACAAGAACTTGGGGTAGGGGTAATTCTCCCCATAGCAAAAGAATTTTACATGCAAAGGCAAAACCCACCCTGAATAAAGGAGCTGCCCTACCAGTTCTCAGATTATCCTGCAGTCAGAAGCTTCTTATCATTCAATGACCTATGCAGTATTGTTGTGGCCCCCAGGAGAAGCAGGGAAGAGGTCACTCCCAACCAGAAACAGGGAAATGGACAGAGTCCTAATGACTTCGTTGAACTTTGGATTTCACTTAGACATTCATTACTAGCAGGAAGACTGACAGGCCTCTATAGTTTTCCAGCAGGCCTCTTTGGTACGGTCTGTATAACATACTTGTATTCTCAAAGCTGGAAACCCTACATTTAACTGTATTCAAACCCCTCCAGTTCCCTATGTATGGGTGCCAAGACATGAACACAAAAATGCCTCAGGAAGAATTGAGAACAATTTATGATAATGGTAAATGCAATTATTTTTAACTCCACCGGGTTAGAATATACCTTACCTAGCACAAGGAAAGAGCAATACAGATGTATACCATGTCTGCAGAGAGAGTCTCAGGGGACAGAACTATGCTTTAAAAATGTTTCTTACACTTTTTGAAGGGTGAAGTGAGCTTGTACTGATTCAATAATTGAAACTCCACAGCTGTAATACCAACATATACCAAATATATGGCTAAATTTCCCTGCAAAACATGGTATGTGTGAAAATACAGCTGAGACCAACACAACAAATACTCTGGCAAAGCTATAGAGCTCATAGCAACAACCACAAAGACACAGAGACTGTGCATTTATGAACACAGAACAGCCTTGTGCCATTCGCAGTTCTTTACAGACCTTTAACTGACACCTGTCAACTCCACTATTTCTGTCTAATCTGTGTATTCACATTAAAATTATTCCCACCCTCCAGTGTACCAGATCCATCCATACCGGTGAGTAGGTGCTTTCCTATACACCCATTCCACCTGGAGGCCTGAATCAAGGCTCAGCAGGGCCAATGGGGCCCATTGCACCGATGCCCACAGTCTCTCCACACCTCCAGACAGGTCTCAGCCCTCTGTTCAAAAAATCTGCCCACTTATTTCAGCCAGTGCAACTTCCTAGGATTACTATTTGGCAAAAGGTACTTCATGGAGTTATCCTAACAGGCTAAGTGAGTGGTCTTAAGCAGCTTTCAACAGTGATAAGACACAAGCATTTACTTACGGAGCGTGTTCATGAGCTGATTGCTTCCTTGTGGCCTGCTGGTGCCGTTAGCCACAGTATTCCTGTTGTTATACTGCTGATGTGGTGGCTGGGAAGGGGAAACATGTGCTGGCTCTTCTCCCTCACTGCTGGAGCTTTCATCTTCACTCCCAGATGAGCTTTCTGAATCTGATGAGCTGCTTCCACTGCTGCTGCTCATCTGCTCAATAATTTCAACCTCTGCTCTTAGCTCTGAAATAAAGAGACATTCATCTGGTTGAAACCATAAACAGGGCCCCATGGAATTTTGGAAAAGAATGTGAAAATGCAATAGTTTTCTCAAGTATAATTTATCACATCAAAATACTTCACATGAAAGAGAGAGACATGAAGGAAAATAAAAAAATTCTGAAAACCTTTTTACTTACTGTTGTAGCTAAATTTAAAGAAGCAACAGCATAGGTTAGTATCATAAAACCTTCACTTCCACTCTTATTCTTTATATACTTCTCACTCCTGAAAGCACTTCCTGCTTCATTATTTTCAACAGGCTATATGCACTAAATACAAAGTAAGTACATTTCCTGATGGAGGAAAAACTGCCTTGACTTCAGATAATGTATCAAACTGCTCCAGCACAGTCACACAGCTCATTTTAAACAAGCTTCAGGAGCAGATGGATGACATCAAATAACTCTGCAGTGGGACAGATGAGAATAGCTGAGAATTTTCACATGCTGGGGAGCGATAAAAATACTGTAACCTGCTAGAGAGCTTCAAAGTAGCCAGGAAAATCCAGAAACTACTTTGAAACTGGAAAGTTACTCAAGTCAGACACTCCCCACTTTAGGGTTACCAGTGAAACACTGGAATACTGTGACAGCAGCACAACAACCTCATCAGCAACAGCTAGTGTTGGCTGAATGACTGGCTACTGAAGAGCTCTTAAGGCATGCCACTCCAAATCACACAATAATGTTAAATTTGTCATAATTACAAGTGGCCTAAACACTATTAGAGGACAATTCCTTTGTATCCACCCACAAAGTTGAGTATCTAATGACTTGGCTCACCTATGCAGGTTTCCATGAGAGAACAACATTCACACATATGTTAAGCATAGGGTGTGAAACCCTCAAAATTTTGGCTTTTGCTGTGTTAGCAATTCTCCACCCACAGAATCGGAACTCTGCGCTTGCCCTGGAGAAGTCACAGGCTCAAGGAACAACACTGAAAGGGGAGAGATGAGATACTATCATCCCTACCTGACAAATGGAGAACTGATGCCAGGAGTAATTTGCCTTAGGTCAAATGTGTGTCAGTGTGAAACTCAGCTACTCAGCTGAGGACAACTTTCTTGTGTTTAGCATAGCCAGATCATATAAAATTACTATTTCTTTCAAGCAAAAATGGCACAGTTTAAATGTTTCTTGTATTCATATTCAGCCCCTGCAGGAGTAAGTCTGAGCAACTGGAAGTCTTCCCTTTTTTAGTAGGATCCATTTTCCTTGGGCTGCCTAACACTATAGAGCAACAGCCAAGTTATCAGCCTCCACAATATTTTCTGGAGAGTGTTCATTTAGCTCAGCATGTATTAGTTTGAGAAATTAAGTTGTCTTTTGCCAGTTTTAAAATCACTGTTTTTCAGTTTCAATGTTCGGGGCTCAATTTCAAGTGCTATAGTTATACTCCAGCTGGGTATTTAAGGACAGTGGTGGAGTTCCTCCAATTTACTTTCTAAATCTAGATACCTGCTTAAACCACCTGTGCTCTCTGGACTCTATTAGTATGCCAGGTAAAACTCACTCCTTCATCTTGAAGATGCAGCATAAGAGACCACTGGAAGAGGGAGGAAGGGTTCTTTCCCTTTAAAATGCTCAGGTTTAAACTCTGCCTCCCTCCCCAGCTTAATGATGTCAAATTTCCACATACTTCAAGTGATGGAGTTGTTAGTTGCAAATTATAGTGATGATAATAATACGATGTTAGAATATCCTGGATTGCAGAAAGCAGAATCACTTATCACAGTCCATATTGCAAAAAGATACAATAAACAAGTCTAATACAAGGCAAGTGCCTGAGGATTACACGCATGCTTTTAGAACCAGCGTCTGTGGCTGGTATGGAGCAGTGCTGGCACATGGGCTGAGAACAACATAGAGCCCAGAATGCAGCATTTAAAATAGCCTGAACAATGTAAAGCAATCTGAGAGGCACTGGTGGTGAAAGGGAAAAGAATGGAATAAGAATGCTCTCCAGAGAACTAGGAAAAAAATCTAAACAAGAAGTTTGACCTCAATACAGTAGGCAAGGAGATAACTGAAGGAAGTGATGCTGTCTGACCAATGGGAAAGGAAGATCAGCCTGGCCAATTTTAAGCAGTTAGTAATTAATGTCAGATTGAAAAGTAGGGGTTTTCTGCTGGAGAAGCAGAAAACTAAGAGACCATAAAAGAGGTTTTGTTATGAGGAAGGAATGGGAGAATGCCTTGGAAGAAGTAGTAAGGCCCACTATGCTGAATACAGGCAAGAAAAACCAAAACTGCACCAGTACCTCAAGCTTCAAGGACTGGGAAGTTAATGCTGTTATCAGTGACAGTAGTCACTGGTGGAAACTTGGTCTGAGCCCATCCTGTAGTCAACTTCTGCCTCACAGGCTAAGAGCTTCCCCTCAGGTCTCTGTTGTCTCTTAATTCCTTGAGCCCAGAATTCTAAAAATCTCATCTGTGCAGACAAGAAAAAACCAATTGTTTTCACTAAAGCAATGGTGGCTGCTGCACCACTAGAAGCCTGTCAGGCAGAGTTCCAGGGGGATCACTAAGGAAGTCTGTTCAACACAGTCTTGTAAGCCACTGATGACACTCAAGCCTCGTAGGAAAAACCCCGCTGCTTTAGAATTGTCTGATTTTGAATGTTCCCATTTGCCTGTTACGCTTAGTGCAGTTACAGGTACTGAAGCTGTGGCTAAACATTTCCCTGTGGTGCCTCCAATTGTGTGTATATATGTACATATATGCTAAGCCAAACAGCTAGAAGAGTCAGACCTTTCCAAGATCTTTTTGTGCCATAATATCAAACAGCTCATGCTGATGTGCCTTAAAGGTTTAAAAGATGACAAGAGTCAGGATGTGCAGCAGTTACTTTTCAAAAAGCTGTCCATACAGTACAGTTTTGAACATTTGCCTTAATTGAGTCTACACCATCTGAAAAGGCTGAGATTGCTACGGGAACCTTAATTTTCCCACATTTTATGTTCCAGCTGTAGGATTTCTTTCAAGAAAACCAACTGGCTTAGTATTTCACACTAGCAGTCAATGCAGTTTTTAGAGTAAAGAAAAACCAATTCAATGTCAGAAATCATTATCCAAACACAATGGCCTTTCTCAGCAGGGCTGTCTTCTGTATATATTCAGTATCATATACTCTAATTTCTTTCCATAACCATATTTAACTGTTCATAGAATCATAGAATTTTAGGGGTTGGAATGGACCTTACAAGATCATCCAGTCCCAATCCTTCTGTCATGGGTAGGGACACCTCCCACCAGACCAGATTGCTCAAGGCTTCAACCAACCTGGCTTTGAACATTGCCAGGGTTGGGGCAGCCACCACATCCCTGGGCACTACCTCTCTGGGAACCTAACTGTTCCTACTTTTCTTAATTTCAATATGCTATGCAGAATTTTTAACTAAAACCCTAACTTTGGGCTGCAAGAATACCAAGGACTTTTAGAAAAAAGTCATTCAGCCTCTGGGAGGATAAGGCTGAATGTCTATAGCAGAACGTTCACTGTTAATAATAGTATACAAGGTGGAGAGAAATCAACTTGATACTGTCACTTCGAGCGTGTGAAGATGGCAGCTAAAAGAGGCAGCATTTTATACTGAAGTGCAAAGATTCTGACTGAGGTGTTCTTGAGAGACACAGTGCTGTGCCCTAATCCTCACACAGCACAGTTATATGTTAAATAAGATATGCCCAGATTTTTAAGCACTGTGTTTAGAGTCTCCAAACCTGAAATATGTTTCCCTGTCTTTTTTTCCCCAAATGTTAATTATGCCAATGTTACTGAAAACATTTCTGTTGTGGCCAAATACATATGATAAATGCTGGTTATTTCATGCACATAAACAGCTGTACTGTGGTATATGTATGCAGATGTTCACTGTTTCATGAAACATTATCAGATGTAGATGAATATTTAAAAGAACAAGTTCTTACTCTCTCCTTTGCTCCCTTCAGGCAGGAGGGCAACACTAAATTTGTAGGGGAAAAGACTTCTCTGGTGCAAAACCCTAGACACAGCCTCCCAAAGGCCTCTCTGCATGAAGGAAAGGACTGGTTCAACTCCAATATGCTCTGACTCTGTCCTCAGGCCCTGTTGTTTGGACAGCTGTGTAATGGGACAGGGAACTGACATACCTGGAAGTTCACTTCCCCGTTCATCTGTAAGGGGAGCTGTGGAAAAGCATAGCTGAGGGTACCAGGGCAAAGCAGAAACCTGCACTGAGCTTACCTTAAAACTACTGTTAAACAACATGAGAGCTGTGTGTATCTTACCACATTCTCAAGCAGAGTACACTGCAAGCAAGAGAGTCATGGTGCCAGAGATCCTTTTAACCACCTCCTTTGGGGATTTTAAGTTCTGTGCTGTATTCATTAAATTAAAAACACATAATTTCAGCTTTATGCTTATCTTTTGTCCAGAGGAGCTACCTCAACCAAAAGGAAAGCTACGATTTGAATGGAAAGAACAGTCTCTTCAAAACTGACAAGTCTTTTTTCATAAAAAGACACATTAAGTGAAGATATCAGGACTGAAGACCACCTTACAGCTTTCACAGGTATGTTATATTAATTATTTTAATTTAAAAATTGCATCACTTTAGTTCTACCTTTCCCAAGTAGGTTCTTATGAAATAAATGGTTCAGTGATGGTGAAGCTCTAGATCATCAACGCTGGAAAAAGTTATATACTCTAAGAAACACACCTGCCCAGGCATTTGGCTCTTTTGGGGCCTTGAACAACTCTCTCTGTAAAACACCAACTTGCAAGTCCTATTTTGAGCACAAGTCAAGAGTTCTACTTGGTTTTGGAAACAAAACTCTACAGGTTATTTATTTGGACGTACTTTCCAACAAAAGATGATTCAGTGGCAAAAAAATACCAGGACAGTTCTGAAAAATGTGACTTATACTTTAGCACTAGAAAATAGTCTTGGAGAATAGATGTCACCCCAGACAAATGTAGTTATTTTACTATAACATGACCTTTATAAATTGCTGTATGGATACAAAAGTGACCCAAAGGTTAAACAACTTATAACAACCTACAAGAGAAGATATTTAAAATCCACAACTGATTCGATTTTTAAACTGATATATCACCTGTTATCTTTCTCCTTACCTATTACACAGAAAATAAAAATGACAATGCAGCTAATAGAATCTCTCAGACATTGATTCTGCCTGCTGACCAGCATCCAGGTATTGTATTGCTGCAGAAGAGTGAGACCAGTCAGCAACTATGCAAACACACGGAGAGCTTAGCCATAAAAATGTCACCTAGTGATTACCATGAACTGAAAAAATACCCTGCTGAGTAATTAACATCATCTGGGCAATTAACACAGGCTAAGTCTACAGACAAAAAAAGGTTATATGGGACAAATTATAAAAGAGAAAGAAAAAGAAACCCACCAAAAAATTAGACAGAAAGAACAAGAGTAAAATAAAATAATTGCATCTGGTGCCAGAGAAGAAAAAGAAACAAAAACCTGAAATTAAAGTCTTCCTCATTCTGACTATATTATCCACAGCAAAACCAGGTATCACACCAGTAGGAAAAAGAAGGACATGGGTGAAGAAAGTGGGTCCTGCCCACAGCAAAACACAAGACCAAGCACTGCTTGAGCAGGAGGGTGAGTCAAGCCAATTATCCCTTCAAGATACTTTTAATGTTTAGCAACTGCATAGCAGATGTGATGAAAGCAGCAAGGGAGTGGTTGTGGAAAAGGGGAAGCTGCAGGGTTGCTCACTGTCTCATTCCTCCCCTACTAGCACTGCTTGGCACAGTGGAAGCTTGTCTTGTGCTGGGAACACAGCCGCCTAGCCCTTCAATCTGACCGACAAACGGCTCCAGCCTTACTCAGTGCAGGAATAACTTCCATCCAAGTGACTTGATTGCATAACTAGATCTTGGACCATTAGCTTTTGTTATTGTTGTGGTGGTTGCCTAAGACACCCGTGCAATTTGTGCAGCACTCAGCTACCGGTTTCTGAATTCACATTTATTTTGTTTCTTCTTTTCAAAACAGGGAAATAATTTGGAAGAGACAAAACTATTCAGAAAGAGGAAGTTCTCTCCTGCCAAAGAGTACTGCAGTATAAATATCTATTCTAGCAGATGAGAATAAATAATTCACTAAGATGCTTTAAAACAAGATATAAAGATGACAAAAGAGCTGTCAAGTATCATCTTTTAATCCGTGAACATTGCAATGTTTTTATAAATTGCAGAGTCATAGTTTTTAATCTAAAGAAGAAAGACAGGACCAACCAAAACTCAGGAAACTACAAACCCTTCTTTACCTCTCTTAATGTCATCCAACTGAGGCTCAGGTGAAGGATTATCCTTCAAAGGAGAAGTTTTAGGTCCAACTGCTGGCTTGGTTGGGGCTCTGAACTGTGAAGGAGGCTGAGATGCTCGGGCAGACTGTTGTTCTATTCGGGCTTGGATCTTACTGCTGCCCTCTGCTCTGAAAAAACAACCAGAGACATTCAGCTGTACTGTGCAACTGTGTTCAGCTTTCTCAACATTCTTGTACTAATGCAACACCTGTGACTTCCTTTTGTACAGATCTCTACTTTGTTTTATAAATATAATCAGTGAATTACAGCTTTCTGTATGCAACACTTACTTTCAGTAACACAGAAACATATACAACTACACTGCAACACCCTTACAAAATGTATTTTCAAATCCAGATGTGGTTCAGCGATGCCAAATTCTCTACTTGAAAAACAATGAAGGCTTTAGTTTAGCAATTAGCACTCAGATTTGTAAAAACGAATAATCAATCTTAGTAATTTAAAGTAACCACATGAGAAAACCACTCGTAACAAAATCCTGCTTAAAACAATCAGGCAAAAGAAACAATTTTCTCACTTGCAATTAAATCATCTCAAACTGAACTCTCTTAGAGGTCAACCTGACTACAGTAATCATTCTTACTGCTAAATACAGCATGCGAGCATTTAATGCCTGATTTTCATTCGTTTGCTGTTATCCCTTAAAAATAATTTCTTTAGTGGAAAATAGTCTCCAGAATAACACCTTGTCTAGCTGCTCAATTCAAAACAGGTATTTCCTTTCTTTTGCTGAATCAATGATGTGATTGAGATTGTAGAACAGTCAATAACCTTGACAGAAAAAAACACCCACAAAACCAACATAGGTTCCTCTACGGCACATCACAATAAGGTTAAAGGGTGTGGTGTATTTATCCCATAACACCAAAGCCTTTGGGGGCATGGCTGTATGTAGTGTAGCACAGAAGCACCTTGTGTGGGTATTAGAGCTCAGTTTTGGTTCTAGGAGGGTCCCAGGTCAGCAGTGTTACACTTTGTGTCTGTGAACTAATCCCCCTGAGAGATAAATTAAACTAGCCCATATCAAATTTTCTGGGACTTAAACTACTTGTGGTACTCGAGCTAGTACATTTAGCACTTACTCTGTGCTTCACTGAACTGTAGATGCAGCCTCAAAACTTAAGCACAGAACCACCTCTTCATCATCGATTAAATGATGCTATTAGATACCACATTAATGCAGTTTACACAGTCATTTACAATAGAAGTGAGGATTTGGGAATATACTCACTGTATCAAGAGAAAGGCAAATGCAAAAGATTGTTGTCAGTACTAATTACGCTCTTGGAACTACAGAAGGTTTTATGTAGAGTAAGTTCACTTGACTCACCCCTGTGAATGTCATTAAGGTGTTAACTAAAAACCTTGTTCCCACAGTGTCAACAGGTTGTTAAAGATCAGAGCAGCGATGGAAAAAACCAGAAAGCCACTTCTGATCTAGAAAATAAATGACTTTTCCAAAGCACTATTCCTCAAAACAGGGATCCCCAATTTTTTTCTACCCTGCCTGTGCTTGAGGAAAAATTGAAATATTTTCACCACACCAGAGCCAAAATTCAGTGTATCCAAACACCTCACTGAACCCAAGCCCTCCTGCACTTATTTGCTTCCTTCTGACTTAAGTTTCACTTGGACAAAGTCCAGCAGAACTTAAACTGGGAATTCTAATCTCATCTATGACATGCTCATATCCACTGGATAAGATGAATGCCACATGGATGAGTTTTTACATCACTGATCCAGAGGAGTGTTACAGTCCATTTATCTTGAACTCAAAGTGTTCAGCCAACTGCTGCTGAGCTGCAATCCCCATTTCTAGTAATTTTAGCAGCTAAAAGTCCTACACTGCAATAAAGTGGGCTGTGCTTTTTTAATGTAGAACTTGCAAAATTATTTAAGAGTTCCTTGTTCATCAGACACCTGAATAACTGCTTTGTCTTTAGATCTCAACAACCTGAGTTCCTGGGGTGCTGAAAGAACATCATCCAGAGACTTCAGGTACTTGCAGAACAGAAAGACTGCTAAAAATGTTCCCACTGCATACCTTGTAGCATTTGTGCAGCAGCGTAAGAGCACTGGGTCAGAAAGGATTTTCGGCTTGAGCAACTCCTCTAGGCAAAACCTCATAACCATTATTTCTACAGTTCCCCCCACCCCTCCACCAGCTGGAGGCTTTGTACTTGTGTTCCACTTTATATATCACTGATCCAATACAGGGATGACTGGTTCTTGTTCCCTAAGATTATGTTATAAGAACATCATGACTCCCACAGGAAGCTGTAGGGAACAAACCTAGAAGTCAAATAATCCTTTCAACAGTCTAATATTTCCATGGCTTTTTTCGGCGAACAAGAGATTCCTGAAACACATCCCATCTTTCAGCCAGCTTCTAGAGCTTCAAATCATCAGAGGTGTTTCATTGCAAACTATAATCATGACATTTTGGCAGTGGAGAATTTACAAATGCTTCACTCTTGGACTCACCCTCCTATTTGCATTTTTAGGCATGATAATTGGCCATGTAAAGCCCATAAGGCTTAGTAATTAAGCATCGCTACAAAATAGTTGTGTTTCAAAAAACAGTCTGAAGAAGAAACTTCAGCAAGAATTAATCCTATCAACAACCCTGTCCCCAGCTTTACCTTGTTTTCTTGACTTGAATGCTGCTACTAAGTTTTTCCAACACATATTCCCCAGTGTCATGATTGATAATAAGCACACAGTCCTTCTGATATGGCCTTTTATTTCCTTTAAAGACAGTCATTGGTGGAGTTGAACCCTGGTGCAAAGAAAGAGCACATGTTTGTTTGGTTACATTTCCCCTACCCAAAAGTTTACAAACACTAAGAGAAATGAATACATGTATTGTTCTGAACAGGAGGCTAAGCACTTAATGTTTAGTTCTACAGAAAACATTCATTCATGAAAAGAGACAAATACAGAGAAAATGTGCAGTAGATCAGACACTTCCTCATAGCAATATTACGCCTTTCATCATTTTAAGTGTCTCTGCAGTGACAAAACATCTTCTCCATGGCTGCCATTATTTACAGTTCTCATTCCCAAAGTGGCAGTGTAACTGAATTTGCATAGCTGGCCCTGACAAGTGTCAGAAATCTTCTTGACATTTCCGCTCTGGAAATCATGGGTTTGGATAAGAAATAAAGTTCTAATTATTTGTGTAGCAAAATTATTGCCTAAAGAAATATGTGGTCAATTGAAAAAGAATTTAAACTGCTTTGTGTATTTTACATATATGTATATGACAGTATTTTCAAAGTGTATTTAAAGCAACTGTCACAAACCACGTAAGAACAGCATCTTCTGCCTTCTTCAGAGTCAGGTCAGCATGTACATGCCCAGGCAATTATATCAAAATGTCTTCTCAAAAGCAAATAGAGTATTTTCATGCCTTCCAGAGAGACCCCAAGTCCACACAATGCTGCACAGAGCCATAAAAGTCTAATGGCTTAGACTGAGAAGCAATAAAGGCAACAAACTCACGTGGTGGTGCACGCTGGCTAACTGATGCTGCTGAGACTATGCTCAGCTGTACTGCAACCGTGCACAGGCTGGTTCATACACCTGGTTTTGGGGTTACAGCGGGTGGAATCTATGGTATCTCTGCATATAACAGCATGGATGCACGCTTGGCCATGTCAGAAAGGCCATGTCACTCCAAGGGTTATGTCCTCAGCTATGAAACATTCTCAGACATCTCTGCAATGTATAACTACTGTACAAAAGAAATTTAAAAAATAAATGCTTATTCATATGCACTTTTGCACATGCTATGGGAAAGCAACCAAGTTCAGGGAGAAAAGAAAGAAAATGCCCTCTCCTACATTTTACTCTGAGTAGCAAATCCAAACAATCATATTTCAACCACTGGGAAAGCAATTCCTATTCTCTATATTGCTAATAGGTAGAATATATTTGAATTTAAAATGGGTTCTGAACAGTAAGGGTGAAAAAATCTGAATTCCCAACAAAGACATAGTAAGAGATAGAAATACAGCAAGAGATTCAGAAAGGATGTCTCAAGAAAGTCTAGTCTTCAAAGGCACATTACATTTTTATCATTCCTACATTTAAGGTAGGAAAGCAACATTTAAGAGAATAAAAAGCAAGCTGAAAGTCAAATCCTACTTGCTGTTGACAACTAAGTCAGGAAATGTATAAAGCACAAATTTAATGAAAACTGATCAAAGTTTGTGGGTTACCATTCTGCTACCCAGAAGCCTCAAAACTCAACAAAGGCTGTGATTTTGGCTAAAAAAAAATAAGCAGAAATGTAACTGTTAATTTAAGCAAATTAACAGTCACACTCTTCTACCTGAACTTAAATTTTTGGGTTTTATGTTAGTGCCTAAATCACACTGGCTCACAGATTGTGCTGATTACAGGATAGAAGGAGGAGGTAGGTGTAACAAGTGACACGTAACCAATTTTCTTTCACACGTGAGGGTTTTTTGCCTGGCAGAGCTCAAGAAGCATTCAGACAATGCTCTCAGGCACATGGTGTGATTCATGGAGATGTTCTGTGCAGGGCCAGGAGCTGGACTTTGATGATCCCTATGGGACTCTTCCAACTCAGGATATTCTATAATCTTCTTCAGTAATCTAACACATAGAAATTTTTCACTTCCCCAACCCAGACTGTTTATCAAATATTAGTTACTTAATCCACGTGTAGAAATAGTACTTCGATTTATCCAAGCCACAAAGGACACTAGTATATCTCCACTGATCAAATTATCAGAGTTATCTTCAGGGATCAGGCAATTAAAAAAAAACCAAAACAACTTAGAATCTGAATCTTATCCAGCTGTTGGGCAACTGGGAACCAAAGCAGGATCCTAGAAATTCAGTAAAGCTTGTCAGGATAAAACAATCTCAAAACTTCTCACTCTTTTCCAGTATGCTTAGTGTTCTCCAGCTCTCTGTCCAGAACACAGGCAGCACTGCCTTGGAACAACATACACATAGTGGTTTGGCTGCTTCAGCCTCCAAAGCATACTATAAACTTAAAGCTGTTCATACTGAGGGGAAGAGAATCAAATTAAGCTCATCAGCACAGAGATTTAGAAAGGAACATTACAAGTGATGCTGCTCAACACAAAAGATGAATGAACAACACTGTTTCCAGACAATCCAAGATGAATGTCTCTATTCACTGTGCTGTTACCTGCTCTCAAATAGCACCACCATGCTTGTCATTTTTATACACAAAAACCAACATGTGACCTGCAGCACTAAAGGTGACCAAAGCCATATAAAAACCAGAGGCCGGGCGAAGCAGGCAAAAGCCTCATCCAGTGGGAATTATCACAGTACCATCACCTGCCAATTAAATCCACTGATGTGCTAGAAAAAAAACACCACCAAAAGGACCTGACACACAGCTGCTAAACTGACTGGTGCCCCCCTGCAACCACCAAACCCACTGATGTCTGTGAATGCTGGTTTAATGGCTTGACACATAGCATTAACCTCAGCTAATAAACAAATCCCGTTCCAGCATGCAAGCACTTTCTTTTGTTTTGGTAAGGAAATCACTGAATCTTCAATTACAAAACAGCTGCACCTATCACTTGTTTTATTGCTGTTTGACAATCACCCTCACACAGTAGATCTTTATGGTGTAATTAGAGAAGGAAGTGGATGGGAAACCACTTCATTGCCATGTACCAGGACTGCCCCCATCAATTCCACTGATAAAGCTAAAGGCAGGGAACCCTCTATGCACAATCTTTACATGTTTCAGTAATTGCAGGAATATGCTTATGGGTTTACCTGTAGGTTCCAAACATCAAACCCTGACTAAAGCCCAAGTTACACTGTCTTCATTAAGCCATAGCACCAAAAATGGATGGGAACCAGGTAAACAGCTTCAGCTAACGCTAGAAGTCTCCTTCTTCTTCAAAGAAGAGTAAGAAAGAAGGAGTCAAAAGAAAAGAACAAACTGCAACCTTACAAATATAACCCTTGACAAAGATCCAATTGTACAGTCCTTTCCTAAGGTAACACACTGCAAGTCTGGCTGCTCAGATACTGAACGCATTAGTATTAACAAAGATGAAGTGAAAACAGTATTTACATTAGACTGTGACTACAGTGCAAATTTGTTGAAGAGTAAACAAGGACACATATATAACAGACTTACTGGAATATGTGGCAAAGTGATCGTAACGTCGTCTCCTTTACCCACTTGGAGGTCTCCCTCACAAGATGTATCAATTGACGCTGGCTTGAAATCATCTAAAGAGGAAAACAACTGTAATTACATTTCTTAGAGTCTCCAGAAGTGTCATCTTGCCCTGCAGAGCGTCACTGCACATTTACTGTGATTACAGGGAATGTTAAAATGCATGTTAGTGTTTATGGCAGGGGTGGAATAACAGACCAGTATACTGGCACAGTGCCCCAGTCACATGAGGGCACCATTCTCTGAACTTCCTTTCCAAAATGGAAATAAAGTTCTAGACCTTGTGTTTGAAGGCCAAAAGCAGACTTCTCCAAAGCCCAGCTTTCGAGCGGCACAAGCGTAAACCTGCACCATGCATCTCAAAAGAGCATCAACTTCCAAGACCCAGGGCTCTGCACGGCTCTCGCCAGTTCGAACCTGGAGGACTCTCTCTGTAACAAACACTCATTTAGTGACACCAGCTCATTTAGCCATACTGATGTTTCAGGCTATTTAACAGCCACCTTGTCTCCAAAATAGCACTAAAAGCTCCACAAGGGTGGAAGAGACCTCAGATCTCACTTATGAGGAAACAAAGAAGTGTTAATCTCCATGGTAGTCTGAAGCCACTGTGGATAGCAAATGTGACTAAGGGGAGGCACTGTAACGGCTTTAAACTAACACAGGGTTTAAGTATTTTTGCTGTATCGTATAGAATGCCTTGTGTCTCAGTCAAGGCACTTCTGTTAAGTGTATTCATTTGAAATAAAAAACATATTAAGTTAAAAGTATTTTCCCTTCATTATTCTGTTGTGCTGATGAGCCATTAAAAAACCCAGGACAAAACCTACCTGAACCTCTAGCATTTTGACAGAGACTTAAACAAAGTGAAATATGATCATACAGATACAGACTGGTTTGCTTTGTTTGTTTGCTTTTATAAGAAGCCTCCATTTGATTTTAGCATCCTTGGATATGAAGCAGTGCAATTATATTCATGATCGAGGCTTTTAATTACTGCACCGGTTATGAAATTAATACCTCAGAACAAATTTAAAATAGAATCCATTATGAAAAACACATTTGCAGAGAAAAACCAAAACTCTGACATGTAATAAATACTCATTAAGAGGATCTTAACGTTTAATTGAGTTTTACTTTGACAGCACAACAAGCAGAATCAGACACACTTGACTTAATCCTCATGCCTTAACTGCCAGACCAAATCATACCCTTCATTTTCATCTGAGCAATCTGTTTCCAGCCATTGTTTCCCACCTACTTTATGTGCAAGCTTGCTAAATAAAACAAACCAGCTGGTCAAGAGCTGGTGTCTTTGCCAAAATGGGATCAAGAGTTTCAACAGCACAATCACTAACTTAAAAGGAATATCACTATGACACTTCTTTCTTAGGTATCAGCAGAATAGAGTTACTTTAAACAAACACTCCACAAATTGTGTTCATTTTGGTATCTTACTAGGTGCATGTGCTTTGCTAATCTTGATGTAGATCGAGTGCATATATTTTCCAAAAGTCAGATGTTTTTAAGATGTTTTCCAGGGATAATCCAGTTTCTCCGTACAGACTTTCATAAACATTATGGAAAGGAATGAAGTATTTTAAGAAAGCCGAAACAAATTTAGCCTACAAAATCCTCTCATTGTAGTTTGTGTGAAGAGGATTACGGGAACAATATAATGTCTGGATCCCAGATAAATCATTCCAGAACAACAGTTAGGGAAAAACATTATAACCAGGCAATGAAGAGACCTCGGTTGAAAGTCACGCATGGAAAATAGAGCACACAGAAAGATCTTCTGAAATAAAATTGCATTCTTCCAGTTGTAGTTTGAAGAGCTTTGGCTTTGCAATCCCTTGCAAAATAGATTATTGAAGCACTTTCCATTCCAGAAATCCAGTACATTTCTATCTAGATCTGGATTGGGTTTAATTCATACAGGCTCAGACAACAACCTCATCAATTTAACAGTTTGTCTGCTTTAAAATTTTGATACATAAACAGAGATTTGCTAATATGTTAGTTCTGGATAAAACTGTTCAGTTAAATGTACCAAACACATGGGATGGTGATTTTTAGCATGGTGAAAAATATGTATAACCAGAGGGGTGGCACACACAAACTTTAAGTGTTAATCCACTAGATAGAGTTGGCTGTTTAGTAAAATAGCTTTGCCTAAATCACTATCTGCTTGAGTAACAGCTCAGTTTAGAAAGTTGCTCTTTCAAGTCACCAAAATTACTTACTCGTAGTGTATGAATATGAGCCATGAGACTGGGCCTAGGACTATGCATCATAAACCAAAAAAATCCAGCTGTTGACTGTGTAAATTCCCCACCTTTACAGAAAGCTACTGAATCAGAAGTTTAGTATTATTTTCATGTACTGCTCGTGATCTACCATTCATTTTAGTAAAAAATCCTGGACTCATTTGGGTCTTGCCCAAGGAATTCGGGTCCAGAGACACACTGAGTTCCAGTCTTCTAATACAAAGCTAATCGCACGTAAGGCTAAACAGAGCAGGTGGAATAATATATGGTGTCTTTAAAAAGATAAATAAATTACTCTTTCAGTTATTCATAACTGCTCAAGACTCTATCTCAAGATTTATCTCACATTTATTAGGCACTGCTGGACGTGTCTGAGTAACTCCTGCTGGCTTTCCTGGGCAGTGATGTACTACAGCTGGTTGGAGCCGGGACAGTCAGGGACACAGCACCTCACCACGAAAATACCCAGAGAAAAACCAAACCGAGGGTGCTTCACCATCCCTGGAGGGTTTCTTCACCATCCCTGGTGGTTTTTAAGATGAGACTGGATGTGGCACTCAGTGCCATGGTCTAGTAACGACGGTAGGGTTGGACTCGATAATCTTTGAGGTCTCTTCCAACCTGGTTGATTCTATGATTCGGCTGCCTCTCCGTTCGCCTGCCTCTCCGGGCCGGGCCCTGCCATGACCTGTCCTGCGACTGCTGCAGAGAGGATGAAATGACACGGCAATCCACCCCCTTCACGGAGAGGATCTCCTTCTGCTTCCAAGCGATTAACGAAAAACTTCCTAAGCTGTTTGTCCGCCCTGGCCTGCCTCGCATCCAGCCTCCTCCTCCCTGCCAGCATCCACCTTCTCCCCTCGGGCTGCCTGCCGGGGTGCGACACCTCTGCGGGGAAAACACTGGTGGGGAGCGAAAGGAAGGCAGGAAAACAGTGGTGGGGAGGGAAGACGGGCGGGCAGGGAGCGGGAAAGAAGGGAAACGAGCGCTGAAAGGGGCAGAAGAGGCAGGGGGGAGCAGGGCGCTGAGGAGGGCCGGAGCCCCGGGGGGACAGCGCGAAGGAGAG